CAAAACTGAATCTGCATTTTTTAACTCAACTTCCCAGCTACCCAACGCTCCTTCTAACAGTCCAATCTGGCATTTTTCTTTTCGGGCTTCTATATATGGAAGACAGTTGTGGCATTGCTGGGATTCAAACTCACAACCTCCTGATGTTGGGATGAATTATTAGAAAAAATCTGAGTAACTACACATGTTCCAGAGTGGTGCAGTGGACTAAGCCATCACCCCAACAGGAGGTTGTGAGTTTGAACCTCAGCAATGCCATACCCAAGAGGAAAAAACGTCTAGCAGGATTGTATGATAGAAGGAGTCCTGGCTAGTGGAGTAAATGATTATAAAAAGTTAACTTATTTACCTTTCTGAGATGCAGAACGCAAAAATTAAGAGTACTTTTGACTCAACTAAGAAGTTTGAGTTGGGTGAACTCTTGCATTTTAGGGGTTTCACAAATTAGCAGCTCATATTTTTTGATCCACTGTATCATTTCACTATAAAAAAGTCATCTGTGATGTGTTATTTACATTTATTTGCAGCCTTTTTATCATCTGTGCATAATATTTCTGGCTGTGACCCCTGTTCTTTTTCCTCTGTCTATATTTCGAAAATATTTTATTTGCAAAGCCCACTGTAGCTGCTTTTGCACCTAACATTAAAATCACCTTAAACGAAATATCTATTAAATTCACTTTCGTTTTCCCTGACCGTAATCCTGGTTGTAACCCTAACCTCAACCAAAAACCTAATACTTACCTTAGCTCTGGTCCTAAACTTAACCCCTGTCCTAATCCTAACCCTAACCCTAACACAGTTGGGAATTAACAGACAGTTTGCTGATACACCACTATAGATAATCTATTAGGGGCCACCCAAATGAAGTGGGGCCCCATCTTCTATCCATCTGTCTGTCTATCTATGACTCTTAACAATATATTTGACTTTCTAATGCATTCTGCGTATATTAGGCCATTGATAAATGGATGTTTAAGTAGCCATTAGCATTGTACTTGATGCCTCGCTCAGCACTGCAGGTTCTCTGCATCTCTCTCTCCACTTCTGTAATAATCTTCATCCTTTGTGTTCTGCATAAAATTAGGGAAGCAACAAAAGAAGAGAACATGAATAATCTAATCACATAGATGGTAACAGGAAGTTAACAAAGCAGATAGAGTGGCACAAACAGCTGTTAGCGTTAGCTGGTTACAGATACGTTAACTATGAGAAACATGCTTGTTTGTTGTCGTGGCTCAATTAACTGACAAAGTGAAAGACTTCCAACCCAGGAAGATCATCTTTTCAACCGTCCAGTTAGACGTTTCCTGTTTTATTCTCTTACCTACTGATCTGGTGAAATCAAGCATTTAAAATGATGTCGTTCTCTTCTTTACCTTATCTGAGGGGTATGCGGAGCGAGATCTGGGCATGAACAGAAGTCGAGCATACTCTAGGCTTACTAGGCTTGACATCTCCATTAAGTTTATCTGTGAGACTTATCTTACACCAGTTCGCCTCCATAAGATCTCCTCAGACTGCTCAAATCTTTGCTTCACATGTAAATAGGAAAGAGGTACATATATGCACTGTTTTTGGTCATGTGACAAGATACAATTTTACTGAAAGGGGATCCACTGTGAGCTCGAAAAAATATTGAAGTTTCACCTGGTCTTTTCTCCTGCTTTGTTCCTATTAAACTTTGATATGGAATCTGTACCTGACTATAAAACAAAGCACCTGTTTTTTATATCAGTATCTTTGGCCAAGAAATGTATTTTACTTTTGTGATCAACTCCTCAGGTTCCATCTGTTGATCTCTGGTTGTCCCAAATTACAACAGTGCTTCCATTAGAGCAACTGACCTACAACTTAAATCAGAAAATGTATAAGTTCTGGCAAATTTGGCAATTGTTAATATCTTACCTTGAGGCACCGTTCTAAATAGTCAATTTCTTCCCTTTTTTTCCTCCCTCCCTCCTTTACTCAATCATGTCCACTGTTAACCATGAGTATGTATGTCCTGTAAATCTGATTGTATGTGCAAATAAAATGTTAATTATAAAAATTATCATTCATCATGATCATGTTTTGATTGGCTGTTTTAAACATTTCTCATTACTTTTGGATGGTTGCAATTGTTGCGGCTGAGTTTCAAACAAGTTGCAGGACACCTTATGCAACTCAAGTGAAATGTAGTTTAATGTTAGCTTCAAGCAACTTTATGAAACTTTCACCAAAAAGCCTCCTAAATGGTTCTTGACCTGTATGTATGGTTAAAGAAACTTGTATTGGTGCAGATCCTTCGCATTATGCAGAGAAGAAGGTTCTTCATGGTCAAACATTCTAATTTCCAAGATGGTTCTTTAAAGAACTATTCATTGAAAAGGTTCTTTAGAGAAACAAAAGTGCTTCTTTTGTGGCAGTGATCCAAATAAGGCACCTTTTTAACAGCACACAGCTGCAGGGAAAAGAGAATATTGTTTTGGATAAGCACAGGGATATCAGGCATAGGCTTACCCTATGCATTTTCTCCACAGCTTTGGAGGAGGAAATTGTTTTGGCTGGGCTCAAGAAGGCATGCCACAGGCTTAGCGGTGTTATCAGCTTATCACAAACAAATCCATATTCCATAACTTTAACTGAGCGGTTTATGGCAGTTTTTGGAGTACTTTGGGAGTCTCAGCAGATTATGGCAGTTTTTGTACACCCTCAAGTGAGATTGGTACACAGCCAACAAGCTCCCTAGAATCAACATTTTAAAAAGAGATTAGGGAGAAGACAATGGCTCTGTGTCGTACAAAGCAAAAACAGCAACACGTAGACATTTCCATTCGGTGCTCAACGGCTTAGACAGATAATGGTGCAAAGAAAAGATAAATGCAGGATTAAACACCGGCCCGAGGGGCTGGCGCTCTGCTGTTAGAGCACGAGCAAAGACTCAACAAAAGGTGGGGACAAATGTTTGACAATAAACGATCAATTGCAACAACTTATCATGACTTAATTTGTGCCAAAAATGGTTCTGCGCAAAGGTCAGAGACCACACTTTTATTTCATTTCCAGTCAAAATGGTCAATAAGTACCACTAATTCATTTTTCAGCTTCAGAAAAAAAAAAAACAGAAAACTTGTATTTAATAGAAAATTACACAGAGGCCTCAACAACTTCATATCACATTTTCAGCATGTAGTGTGTTTATACTTTGCCTTTATTACAGCTTCCTTTTTTTTTTTCAAAGAAATCTACAGGGATATTTTTACCCACCTCTAAAGTTCTGAGAACCCTTAACTGCTGTTAGATGCACTTTCACTTCTGACAATCCAAATATGTCCAAATTAGACTCATCAGTCCATGAAAACGTACTAGACATTCTAGTTGTCCAGTTTCAGTGTTCTAGTCCAAATTTTCTTTTTTTTACTATTTTTTTATTATTTTTTTCTTTATTTTATTCTATGTTCTTTTCTACACATCCTTTCAGACCCACAGCACTGGGTTGTCTTCTCACGGTGGAAGGATGGACAGAAACACCTGTGGATTTTTCCGGATCTGAAGCTAAAGTGAAGCTTGATTTTCTGTTATGTTTCAAAAACCAAAACTTTCAAAATTGTTTATCTGATTGTGACACTTTTGGACACATGCACAGTTGCTAGGAGTCCCATTTTCTTCATATCTTTTAATAATTTTATGATCTACAATTTTGGAAACTCCTGTTTTTTCATTTTCTACAGAGCCCCGCTGGTGACATCCTGTATAAATAAAAACAATGCGTGGCCACGACTTAGTAAGGCATGATCTCGTTCCCACGCCTTACTACGTGGTATCTTAATTATCTCATTCCCATGCCCTACTAAGTCATGGCCATGCATTAGGATCTCATTCCCACACATTAATATGGTGTAGCAATGCATTATTTTTATTTATACGAGACGTCACCAGGTATTGGTTTTTAAATCAATACAGCCATAACAATTTATGTAAAAATACCAGATGTTTAAAATATCACAAGTGTCCAGCGTAGGGTTCTCATTTAGCAGCTGTAGCCAGTCAGCAGCCTGTCCATGTTGTTCACCATCTCACACACACATATACAAACACACACACACACACACTAACAGCAGGCCATGTAGGAGGAGAACAGAGTGAAGGACACAGCACCTCCACACTTTTACTCCCCGCGGGTTCACCCAACACTACATGTGTAATATAAATGTGTGGGGGGTGAACAGAGTGAAGACACTGAAAATGGGTTATTTTATATGTTCCTCAGAGAAAAATGAGCAAAGGCCAAGAATCTGCGGTTGAAATAATAATAAATTGCATATTTCTTTCTTTTGGTAAACATTTAAACTGGGTCCCACAGACCCCAACACCACACAAGGGTTAAAGGCCATTTGGACAGGAAATTGAATGAATGAAATGGTGGTCTCTGAATTTGCACAGTACTGCAAGCGTATCCTTTGTGCTTCAGAAGATTTCACTGTTGAAATCGAAGCCTTATTAACATTTTCCCACCAAATGGCATTAATGTTGTCTGTATCTGCTGTGTTGTAGTTCCCTTCTGGCAGCGTGAGGGCATCACTATATTTGACTCTCAGTAGGTGGTCCTAGTGGCTTAGCTAAGCTCCTCTCCTCTCGGCCTGCGTAAAACAAACTTGGCACTCTTCCAACCTCCCGTAACCTCGGCTCCTCATCCCCTTCAAAGCGAAGCCACAATGGGAAAAAAAGTGTCATCCCTTTTTATTTGCTCTCTGCTGATGCAAATCACCCGCGCTAAATATATCATCGCTGGTTTATGCCAGCTTCTGATGCATAATGTATGGGGCTCGCTTATTTATTTATTTATTTATTTCTCACTATTGAAGAGTCTCGGGGTGCTGAGTATTCACCGGCAATTTTGACATGAATTGTAAAATAAAATGTGATGATAAATGTTCTTTGTGCAGTTGTCAAATGCATAGTGGCCACTAAGCTAGCGTAGTGATGCCTATTTATGACCAAGCTTTCCTTTCCCTCAGGGTGTGAGCCCATCCCGGTGCATTATCTACAGTGGGGGGACCCCGAGCCCATCGCCGCTGTGGTCTTTGCTTGCCTCGGCCTCCTGGCCACCATCTTGGTGATGCTGATCTTCGTGAGGTTCCATGATACGCCTGTGGTGAAGTCTTCCAGTAGGGAGCTTTGCTTCATCATCCTGGCTGGTATCTGCCTGGGCTACCTCTGCACCTTCTGCCTCATCGCCAAGCCCCATGTGGTGTACTGCTACCTGCAGAGACTGGGCATCGGCCTCTCCCCTGCCATGAGCTACTCTGCTCTGGTCACCAAGACCAACCGCATTGCCCGGATCCTGGCTGGCAGCAAGAAGAAGATCTGCACCAAGAAGCCTCGTTTCATGAGTGCCTGTGCCCAGTTGGTGATAGCTTTCATCCTCATCCTCCTCCAGCTGGCCATCATCGTGGCACTTTTCATCATGGAGCCGCCTCAGGTGATCTACGATTACCCGTCCATCCGTGAGGTACACCTTATCTGCAACACCACCACACTGGGGGTCGTGGCGCCACTGGGCTACAACGGGTTGCTCATCCTCAGCTGTACCTTCTACGCCTTCAAGACCCGAAATGTTCCCGCCAACTTCAATGAAGCCAAGTACATCGCCTTCACCATGTACACCACCTGCATCATCTGGCTGGCCTTCGTGCCCATCTACTTCGGCTCCAACTACAAGATCATCACCATGTGCTTTTCGGTCAGTCTCAGTGCCACCACGGCTTTGTGCTGCATGTTCGCACCAAAGGTCTACATCATGCTGGCCAAACCAGAGCGCAATGTACGCAGCGCGTTCACCACCTCCACAGTAGTGAGGATGCACGTGGGTGATGGCAAGTCCGCCTCAGCCGCTAGCCGCTCCAGCAGCTTGGCTAACCTGTGGAGACGCCGTGGCTCAGGAACAGACAATGTCAGGTCAGTTATTATGCTATAATGTACTGTTCAGACACATGCAGCATCTATTATTCAAGTTGCCACATGTTACATACACTGATCAGTCATAACTACGCTGTTTCTACGCTCATTGTCCATTTTATCAGCTCCACTTACTATATAGGTGCACTTTGTAGTTCTACAGTTACAGACTGTAGTCCATCTGTTCTCTGCATACTTTGTTAGCCCCCTTTTACCCTGTTCTTCAGTGGTCAGGACCCCCATAGACCCTCATAGAGCAGGTCTATTTGAAGGTGGATCATTCTTAACACTGCAGTAACACTGACGTGGTGGTGGTGTGTTAATGTGTGTTGTGCTGGTCTGAGTGGATCAGACACAGCAGTGCTGCTGGAGTTTTTAAACAATATCCAGTCAACAGCGTCCTGTGGGCAGCGTCCTGTGACCGCTGATGAAGGACTAGAGGATGACCAACACAAACTGAGCAGCAGCAGATGAGCTATCGTCTCTGACTTTACATCTACAAGGTGGACTGACAAGGTAGCAGTGTCTAATAGAGCGGACAGTGAGTGGACACAGTGTTTAAAAACTCCAGCAGCACTGCTGTGTCTGATCCACTCGTACCAGAACAACACACACTAACACACCACCACCACATCAGTTTTACTGCAGAGCTGAGAATGATCCACCACCCAAATAGTACCTGCTCAGATGAACTACAGTCTGTAATTGTAGAACTACAAAGTGCACCTATATAGTAAGTGGAGCTGATAAACTGGACAATGAGCGTAGAAACAAGGAGGTGGTCATAATGTTATGCCTGATCGGTGTATATTGCTGTCTATATGTAACAGGACTGCAACACACTGGATTTGAAAGAAAAGAACATCTTTTAAAGTTAAAGTGTAGAATATCTGCTTCATATCAAGGCTGTCTGTATTAGAGGTGGCATGGACTAGACTAATAAATCCACAAGTGATGAAAACAAACTTGGAGTGCTGGTTGGCAAACACACAAGCATATCTTGTTTACTTGATACCTACACAATTCAGGAAAATGGGATTTCATGAATGTTTCCCGGTTTCCCAGTTCATCAGCTACGTCTATACCTCACTCTTAAAGGCTTATTGGTAAGTAGAGATGCAATGGCTTACTGCTGGCATTTAGCTTGAAAAAAAAAGTTTCCCAGTGGATAGTGCACAGACAAGAGCCAGTTTAAATTCTCTTGAGAGGTGAGTTTCTGAGAGCTGTGGTGATTTTAGCACGCAGTTTACATCAGACAGTCGGTGTACTTCTGTGGGCGAAGTGCATAAGGCTGAAACTCCAACTGTAGCATCTGCTGCTAGAGCAAGCCCCTACTAAAATACTTTTTACAGATGTTCAGAACATTCACCCTTTAATGTCCTCACCAAGAAAAAATCAATTGAATTTTTTTTTTGTATTTTTTATTTGTTTGGGGCAATAATAAAAACAATTGTTGGTTTTTAATTCGTTTTTTGACCCCACAGTTTCATGTCTACCAAATGGTAGAGATGGCATTTTGTGGCATATATATATATATATATATATATATATAGTGACTCAAAATGTGCTCTACCAAATGCTTGAGCAGAACATCAAAGGGTTGAAAAAAATGGTAATGGTGACCAATTGACTACTTTTTTTTAAATGACTAGTCAGCTAGTAAAATCTAATAGTTACGTGACCCTAATCGGTATATAAACTGAGTAATCAAACAAATTAATCTTACATAGAATCATGCTCGGCAACTGGCTGCAAATCCTTTGGAATTTGGTCTGTATTATCCTGGTGATGCTCAGTTAGGCATGCAATCCAGTCGTTTTAAGTTTCGGCTTCTTTGAAGAGCTATCCGGCCTTAGTCTAGTCTTCAGTAAGTGAAAAGCAGGCTCAGTAGGGTTTAGATCAGATGACTAACTTGGCCAGAAAAGACCATTGTGACTTACCACAATGAAATACTCCATAGCTGTCTTGCAGTTTGTTTCAGGTCACTGTATTACTCCGAGATAAAAGTTTATCCAGTGTTGAGGCATACGGTTGGGTCTGGGCAGTTTAAGATCATCAGACTTCAACCAGCTGCTCCCATTGGCAGTCATATTATCAATAAAGTCCACTGAATTAATTTTGACTCACTTTACTGAAGGGTTGTGTTTATAAGGCTACATGACATCTACATAAGCTTTCATGACATCTAACATAAACATATTTAAACATTTACAGAGGCTTGCTTCAACAAAAGTCAGGTGTCATTACACTTTCTGGGGTTTTTAAAAAATGACAAAAGCAGCTCTAATGACAACGGATTCTTGTTGAATTAAGGCTTTGTAGATGTTTATGTAGATGTATGCCAGTTATGTAGATGTATAACCCTTCGGTAAAGTGTTACCAGCTTTTTATGCACTTTATTCGGCCTGCTTTACTGGCACTGGCCCTTGTTTGAACCTTATATTAAGAGATAACAACAGACTACAGATGCAAACAAAAATGCAAATGTGAACAAAACTGAGTACAAGTACTTTTCTGGACTAAATTACAGCCCAGTCAGTAGGGCTTGTCCACTGAAGGTCCATTTTAGGTAGTATCAGTTGTGATAATAATCAGAAGAAGAAGAAGAAGACAAAGTAGAAGAAGAAGAATCTCATATGATTATTATGATGATCTATGAGTGACTTCTAACTAGGACATAATAGTAATAATAATAATCTTACATGATATCCTAATAATATCATATGGTTATATGATATTATTAGGATCTACAGATTAAGTATTTAGGTCAACAGATTTATGCTAATGTGACATCATTTGCTCTGAAATTGAAAAATAACATTTTTGTGTAAAATGTCATGCTGATGTTAAAATTTGCTAATTGTTCATCTGGATACGGCATATTTAGTTCCTCTGCACAGTCACCCACTGAGCTTTCCCTTAAATAAATGATCACATAAATAAATAAATATCACTAAAAATCTGTTTTGTCTTGCCTGCCAAAGGTTTGCTTTTGAGGATGAAAAATAAATTTAGATCATCTCCCCAACTGCGTATATTCTAGAGCACGGCGGAAAAAAGTCAAATGCCCCCCTCGAATAGGAGGGAAAAAACCTCAAAGAGCTGAACCAATTACCGTGCCTAAGTGTGATTCCTTCCTGGAGCAAATCAGAGGGATCATGCATGTGGGTTGAGGGTCCCCAAGAGAAATAGGAGGGGAAAGAGGAAGAGGAGAGAAGTGGATAATAGTGATAATGATGGATGTAGTGCTAACTTGAGCTTGGCATTGACAGAGTTCTCTCAGTGAACTATTCCAAACGCAGTACAACAGCCAGTGAATCACCGTGATGTTTATGCCTGTTCCAACTCTCTGCTCTAAGGTTATTTTGGGGGTAGATGAGATTTTGTGAAATATCGCAGATGGTTTGGAGTAATGTGAAAGTGTTGCCCTCTATGAGTGTCACCGTAGCAACTGTGTAGTGTGAAAGAAGCAGTGTAATCTATGGGTCATACAGTGTGAAACGGGCTTTAATGGCACATCTTGGTATCTACATGGTCCTGAAGTTCATAGAGTACCTTCTCTTTTTGCAGCTCTAATGGCAAAACGGTTACCTGGGCACAAAACGAGAGAGGCTACCGGCCGAACCTGTGGAAGCGCATTTCCATTCACATCAAGAAAAAGGAGGAGAGCAACCAGACGGCAATCATCAAGCCCTTCTCCAAAGGCTGTGATGCACCTCCAGACACAGGGGTCAAGCTGTCCTACGACAGGCCTCAGAGTGCCCAGCGTTACCCTGTGACCTACCGCCCACGCACGCCTTCTCCCCTGCCCACCGTGTGCCAGCGAGGGCCCGTACAGCGCTGCTGTGAGGACGAGGAAGCTGTTAGAGAACAGAAGAGGGAGGAATCTGTCAGAGAGCGGCCGCCACCAGTTGTAGCTTTGCCTTCGTACCTGACAGAGAGGTCCCAACGAGGTGGACCTCAACAGACCTCCATCATGGACCAAATCACCAGCGTGGTCAACCGCTTCACGGCCAACATCAGCGAGCTCAACAGCATGATGCTGCCAGCCAGCCCGCCTCCAGGCACGTCCATCAACGTCTCTGGTCCCAGCTCGCCCACCTTCAGGCTGCTCTCACGGGACATCCCTCAGCTTTCCACCACAGTGACCACCTACGCAGAAGTGGTGGCTGCAGCCAATGCCACCCCGCGCTCTGCTGTGGGCATCACTGGAGGCATAATCACCGGTGGGAGTAGCCGGGCATCCCCTGCTAGTCTCTCTGACAGCATCTATGACTCTTCATCCGCAGTCAGGACCACAGAGCTGGAGGAGCTGGCTGCACTCACGCCTCCGTCCCCATTCAGGGACTCCTCGGTGGGCTCGGCCAGTGACTCCCCTACTTCACCAGACTCTGAGCTGGCTCTGTGCCAGCCCTGCTCCCCAAAGTACGACCGACTGATGCTGCGCAATTACAGCCAGAGCTCTTCCTCGCTGTAAAAACCTCACTTTTCACAAGATTCCGAGTGAATCGCATGCCGCCAAATCGACACCGGCCCTCCCCTTAAACAAATGGGAGGCTGAGGGCATTTAGAACACTAGTCTGAAGTTTCTTTTGAATCAGATTCAATTTTACACTGTTCCAAAGTCTGTTTGGATCCGAACACTGCTGCAGAACTCGTGAGAACTTGGAATCCAGACAATTCTGAGAGGTGGATCAGGGATAAAACAAAGCAAGAGGGAACGCTGCAGGGAATTAGTTGTGTGAGTAGCCGCATTTGAGTCTGAACTCCAAATGTGAGAGAGTCTGGTCTCCTCACAAGAAGGAATAAACGGTATTTGGAATTTGTCCTGTCCTTATTGATGAGAGCGTCTAAGTGGAAATACAGAGCATTCAAAAAATTGACATAGATGATTAAAAGTGCTCCTCATCAGCTCCTGAATGAAGTGCTAAGGTTGAGGGCTTTTAGCTCACAGACACCTCTGCATAACTGTGCAAGGAAAATCATGGTGTGAAGCAACTGGGGGCATTCCACGGACCTCAGTTAACTTTGGATTCGGATGATATCCTGTGCTCGACATATAGCCAGTGATTCCAACGATGTCAAACAACTGAGATTTGTAAGACAACGATTCACGTGAAATAATGGAGGCATTGCTCTATTTGTTATTTGTATGTAAAGCTGTTCTGTGGCTACAAAACTTGCACAGTCATCTACATACCACAGTGGCGAACATCAAACGTAGATATTTAGTTAGTAAGGGTAGTACGGGACCAAACTACTTTCAGTGGGAAGGCTTCGTTATTTTGCACGCAACACGATTTCATGACAGATACCACTAAAAACAACAGATCTACTTGTTAAAGGCCAAAAACGTACTTTTTGGAAGTATGTGAATGCAAACTCTTCGGGCTACACAGTTTTTATGCACATTGTTGCATTCTATTATATGTCAACACACAACGCAAGCACAATCTGCATTGCGAGTGTTACAGCAAGAGGTGCTATTGCAACAGCAAAGCCTGGCCAAACTGTCTTGAACCGTCAATGTGCTTTCTCCTGGTCAACTCTTAAGCCGGGGTTACACTACACAACTTTTACCCCGATTTTAGCCCCAATTCTCAGTCTGGCTGAGTCTGTCCAAGTTGGCTCTAGTCTGCCGATCTTTGAGTCAGTCAGAGCCGACAGTTGGAGAGAGAGTCGAGTCGTGTTTGAGGGGTGCAGACTCAGATTTTTGGCCTCCCAATCATGTTTCAGACCAGTCTGAGTTTATCAAACGTTTGATTTTTTTTTGACCCGACTCAGAGCGTGATCTAGTTTAAACTGGTCAACAACTCAATCTGAACGGATTCCTGCAACAGCCAATGAAAACAGAGAGCGCAAAAGAAGAACATACAGCAAATAAACAAGGAAAACGGTGAAACGTCTGTCACGTGTGGAGCGAAGCTTTTTAATGAGCTGAGTTTAAGGGCACAATCGAGTTTGTGTACATTTAAAACTCTAAAAATATTACACTGGTCACATTTTTAAATCGACTTCAAACAAGTTTACCTGCTACTTCTTTACTGTGTCAGAAAAAACAGCAGAGAAAACAGCAGCAGCAGCTCCACGTTTGTTAATTTGGGTCCTAGTAACGGGAGAACGTGTGAGTTCGTGTGATTTTGCGTGAGTTTGCAAGAGTTCAGTGAGTTCCATTCGGTTCAGCAGCAGCTGAAAAGTTGAGCAGTGTGTGATCCCTAATCGTTTAGTGTGTGATCCCCAAAATTTCAGCCGCCCGAAAAATCCACAAAAAACAGTCGTATAGTGTGAGACGCCCAGTCTTTTATGATCTGTTCAGACTTTAAAAGTCGTGTAGTGAACCGCAGCTTTAGCAGACAAGCATTTAGACGAGTCTTATTAAAATTCAAATTATTTTCACACATAAACACTTATTTGAAGTATCATCACCTCTTCATGCTAGTAAAACAGGTAATGCAGTTCACACTCCTCTACTGCCGAATAACAGTCAGCCCTGTTCTAAATTGTCCTCTATCGCCCCCTTGACCACTGAGGGTTATAATTGTCACTGAAATGTATTGAGTTTGTGCAGAAGGGCTGTGCTTTTCCTTTTTTATGTTATTTGCATTCACATACTTGCCTTGAGTATGTTTCTGGCCTGAAACTTCAATATTTCAACATTTCTGTAAATGAATCTATTGAAGCAATGAAGTCTCACATTTGAATGTAAATTACATGCAGTACTGTGCAAAAGTTGGACACCACCCTTTGTTTATTTCATTTCCAGTCAAAAAGGACAATAAGTACGAGTTATTCATTTTTTAGTACTTGAAATTTCAAGCTTTGCTCAATCCACAGATTGTCCATCCTTTCACTGTGAGACAACAACTCAACACTATGGCTCTGAAAGGACGTGTAGCTGTCTAGAGGTCATTAGTGAGAAAGATAAAGATGAAAGAGAAGAAAACTTTCACTAGAACATCAAAACTGGACATCTGAGATGTGAGGTAAGGTTTTATGGACAGACAGTTCTAAATTTGTAATTTGATTACTTGGATGGTGAGAAGTACTAAATGCAACCAACTACTAAGACTGAACTTTGGAGGTGTGGAAAAATATCCCCAAAGATTTTTTTCTGGGGGTCTCCGGAAAGAATGAAAGCTGTAATAAAGGTAAAAGGTGGACATATTAAGTGGTGAAAAATCCTGTATTTAGTTTTTGAGGCTTCTGTGTAATTTTCTGTTAATATTATGTTTTTGCTGAAAAATGAATAACTTGTACTCAGTGGCTGATGGAAATTAAATGGCTGAAAGGATAAACTCTGACTTTTGCATAGTACTGTAGCTAGTTGTGTTGCCTGTACTATGTTTCCATAGTACTGAAGAATGAAGAATATTTTCATACTTTATTGTCCCTCTGCTTATTTGATATTCGAGAATTTGTCTATACTGAAAATATACACTGAACAGGCATAACATTATGACCACCTCCTTGTTTCTACGCTCGTTGTCCATTTTATCAGCTCCACTTACTATATAGGTGCACTTTGTAGTTCTACAGTTACAGACTGTAGTCCATCTGTTTCTCTGCATACTTTGTTAGCCCCCTTTTACTCTGTTCTTCAGTGGTCAGGACCCCCATGGACCCTCATATAGCAGGTACTATTTGGGTGGTGGATCATTCTCAGCACTGCAGTAACACTGACGTGGTGGTGGTGTGTTAGTGTGTGTTGTGCTGGTCTGAGTGGATCAGACACAGCAGTACTGCTGGAGTTTTTAAACACCTCAGTGTCACTGCTGGACTGAGAATGGTCCACCAACCAAAAATATCCAGCCAACAGCGTCCTGTGGGCAGCGTCCTGTGACCACTGATGAAGGACTAGAGGATGACCAACACAAACTGTGCAGCAGCAGATGAGCTATCATCTCTGACTTTACATCTACAAGGTGAACTGACAAGGTAGGAGTGTCTAATAGAGTGGACAGTGAGTGGACACAGTGTTTAAAAACTCCAGCAGCACTACTGTGTCTGATCCACTCGTACCAGAACAACACACACTAACACACCACCACCACGTCAGTGTCACTGCAGTGCTGAGAATGATCCACCACCCTAATAGTACCTGCTCTGTGAGGGTCCACGGGGGTCCTGACCACTGAAGAACAGGGTAAAAGGGGGCTAACAAAGTATCCAGAGAAACAGATGGACTACAGTCTGTAACTGTAGAACTACAAAGTGCACCTATATAGTAAGTGGAGCTGATAAAATGGACAATGAGCGTAGAAACAAGGAGGTGGTCGTAATGTTATGCCTGATCGGTGTAGGAAGATGCCTCTATTGCTCTACTCACTAAATACCCAAACTGTGATTTCTGATATAGCCATCCTGAAGTTGATTTAGTTGCAGTCATAGTTTAAAAAAAATAGTTTGTAAGATTTCAGTGCATTTTTTGCGATTGTATGTGAAGATCTTACGTGATCACTGCTTGTTTACAGTGAATATAGATAAATGTGTGCCAACTACATTAAAGAGAGAAGTAAGATTTTATATAGGCTCAGTTATTAAGGATTTCTCAGTAGACTGGTTGCTTGTGCGATGTGCAGTATAAAGGAAGCAATACTTATGAATGTAAGGCCTAGTCAGTTATTGCTCAAGCTCTCATTTCATTCGCACATGCTTTGCATCTTCTACTCTTTGAGGCATTGTATTTAAAACCATGAAGGTGTGCAATGTTTTTTTTTTTTTCCGGAAATTGTGTAGTTTCAAACGTGGAGCGGTCTGATTACCTCTTGTATCGACACAGAACACAGTATTATTCATATATATCTCAGATTTTCAAAGACAAGATTTATGTTTGTGATGATATCATATGGACCAAACCAGATACTCTTTTAAGACCACACTTTTTTATCTGATTTCAAGCAGTGCTCAGAGTTTCCTACGAATGGATGCACTGTGCGTATCTACAACCTTTAGTCTGATGAACAACGTGCAATATTCTTTATTGAATGGATGTACTGTAATGAGGATTTATGTTTGCATGCAGAACAGTGCCAATAGCTGACTCTGTAAGTGCTAACTCTTCTCACCACGACTTTTGTACGTTTTTCTAAACGTCTTTTGCATCTTTTGCTCTTTGCCTTTTTTCAGAGAATGTAGATAACGGCTCTAAGTGTGATGTATTTTTCTACCTGATATTTGTGCTGATTTAGTAATAGAGTTGTAATATAATGACCATTAGTTTGTTAAGCTTTGTGACGGTGGGATGAATGTAGCTTGTAATAGCATTTCTAATAGTTTCAGATGTTATTTATTGTGATTTTTTTATTCTGTTGCAGTTGTGTTGTGTGATAAAATGAAATGATTTACTGAGTATTATTAAAAAGGGACTTAAATGCAAAGATCTGATTTTTTATTCGGCATTATATTAGGAAGATAATGGTTATTGGAATATGTAGAAGTTTAAAGGCTGATTCAACTCTTTTATATTCTTCCCGTTTCCCTTTTTTTAACTCTTGACCCGATCAGCACACACACACACACACACACACACACACACACACACACTGCTTTGCTTTGAGCTGAACTTTAATTTTAGAAAAAGGACATTTTTACTTGTCTGATGAAATCTTCATTCTGTGTATTTAAAACATGTCTTTTTATACATATAATAATGAAAAAATATCTTTTCTTTTGATCTTTTAAAATAATATTAAAAACAAAAATCATTTACTCGCAAAAAAATAAAAAATGTAATTATTCTTTCTTAATATATTAAGCTGTTAAAAGTAATTTATTATAATTATTTTTAAGAAGATATTTTAAAATTCTATATCATTTTAATAGGTTTTAATAAATAAATTTCATTTTTAATAAATAAATAAAAAGTCATTTTTAGAGGGGACCTATTATGCTCATTTTCAGTGTTCATAATTTTATTCTGGGGTCTACTAGAATGAATTTACCTTCAATTAAAAAAAAAAAAAAGAAAAGAAAAAAAAAACAACATTTTTCTCATAAAGTACATCTCTATTCACCCTCTGTCTGAAACGCTGTTAGAGCTCCTGTGTCTTTAAGCCCCGCCTCCTGATGAGTCCAGTGTGCTCTGACTGGTCAGCTCACCCACTCTGTTCTGATCAGTCTGTTCTGAACCGCCAGAGCAGCGTCCTGCTACAAGTTCCGCCCCACATCGCTGTGGCTGTTCTTACTATGGCGTCAGTTCTGCTGTATCAGTTTGAGCCAGTCTGATCCTGAATGTCAGGCAGACTTGATCCACCTTCGCAAGCTAAAGCGGGAAGTTTTAGAGTAGTGCGTTTTTACACTGTGGCTCTCTTGTGTCAGAGCAGGCCAAGCTTGCTGGTAGGCGGGTAATAAGGATTATGTTATGAGATTGCCTCATCTTGTAACAAAGGAAAAGGGCTGGAACTCCAACGAGGCGTTTGAGGCAGCTGAGAGGAGCGATTTCTGTGGGAGAGAGTTTCTCCATCTGGAGTGTACTTTGAGCTTTGTATCTTTGCAGAACGTTTACATGCATAAAGCTAAATAACGCACTAAAGGAAAGAGAAAAACTGGAAAACCACAACCGGTCTCCTTTAACAACGCTTTTTTGTTTTTTTATTTAATAATTTAAAAAGTTATTTAAAATGTTTGGTTACACTTTATAATAACAGGCTCTAATAAACAGCAACTTAATCATTATCTAGTAGCTTGTGTATGACTGTTATTATGATAGTTGTATAATAATAATAACAGTTATAATAATAAAAAACAGTTATAATAATAGTACTATAATGGTAGAATAATAGTAATAACAAAATTGTAATAGTAAAGTTAGCAATAATAGTATAATAGTAATAGAATAGTTATATGTATATATAATATATAGTTATATATAATATAATAGTTGCAAATGCATTAATAAATGGTATGTTTTGGATGATTTGCCTCGCTCAGTTTATACGAAAGCCTTTTATCACTAGATCAAATCCACCTGACATCTGAACATGGAAGATATAAAATCTGAAAACTTTGACTTTTTTTTTGAAAGGCCTCAACATGGTGAGTGTCACAAAAATTTGCATAAACTTGAATAGTATTGAATAATATTTAAAGCTAATAAAAGGTTTAAATAAAAAAATCCCATATATATATATATATATATATATATATATACCAGCGTTTATAGGGGGGTAGAAAAATCATAGCACTTTGATATATATATATATATATATATTTTGTTACTTTTAATAAAATACATTTTATTTTATCTTTTTTACTTATGATTCATTTGCATTTTCCCTCATGACCACCATCACAAATATCCCCACTACGTCAGAATGTTCCTGTTTTCCCGTCATTAAGTGGGCACATGGTGCCCACTAAGCATTCCTAACAGTTTTACACACACAAGCAGGCACGCACACAGACGCCTTTCCCCTCCACACACACACACACACACATACACACACAGCTGGGGAAGGAAACACAGTGCACATGAGCTACTCTGACGGCCGGTCACAAGTTGGCCAAGCACACGCCCTTCACACACACACACACACTGCTGCCGCCTCAGGCGCTGCATCACTGAACTTCAGCGGGACTGGGACTGAGTAGCATGCGCACATAACAGCCACAGCCATGCAGAACCACCAGAAAGAACGTCTGTACAAAATCCTGGTTATCGGAGATTTGGGAGTGGGCAAGACGAGCATCATTAAGCGCTACGTTCACCAGACCTACTCAACGAACTACAGAGCCACCATAGGAGTGGACTTTGCTCTCAAAGTCCTCAACTGGGACTCAGAAACGGTGCGCTTGCAGCTGTGGGACATTGCAGGTAGGTGTGTGTGTGTGTGTGTGTGTGTGTGTGTGTGTGTGTGTGTGTGAGAGGTTAAAGGTGTGAACGGAATTCCAGCCTGGAATATTTATCTAGTTATCTACATTGCTGGTCTCCAACGCTGAAGCTGGTCCTGAAGCTTTGAACATCAACCTGCGTACAGCAGTGTCTAACTGACCATCAAAGCTATTCCTAGAGCTCTGAATCTAAATGTCTGATAGACCTGTTCTTTATTAGTCCACCATGAAGAGTTCAGTTCCACCTGTAACCCATCACAGCTGATCTAGATAATCAATTAACCCAATAAATGGCCAGGGGCTGCTGACAGGCCCAAAGCTTTATTACACGCTTTTATAAGCTAAGAATAGCTCAACCCGTTTGCATTGAACTCTCTGTAGTTACTAAATAATAAGCCTTAGTATGTAAAAAGCCTTGGATTTTAAGGGGTTAGCTACCTGGATTCAGCAGAGTTGGAACTGGACTCTTCATGAATCACCAGGATGACCACTGATCTAGACTTGGAATAGAGCTCCAACTCAAAAAGATGCAGCGGCGCTTCACGTGACTCTGAAGGAGCATGTGCTAGCACTCACCCTCCCTGCTTGGTACCACAGTGTGATGAAGAAGACCTAGCTAATGGGTGTAACAGGCAATCGGGGAGACAACTGGGTTAAAAATAATGAAATAATATACTGATATCTGCTGATGTAGACGAATAAAGAGCGGCTTTATCTGGTAGAGATAAGAAATGAATCGCCAGGTAAAGGAGTCCTCAGACTGCTCAGGCCTTTTTCCTCCAGAATGCAGTCTTAATCATCCAGATCCAGTCTCACGTGTCATGCACGACAGCCGCCCACCTCTCTCTCTCTCTCTCTTTCTCTGCCTCTCTCACACTCTTGCTCTCTCTCTCTCTCACTCAGCACCCAGACTCACTTCCCCACGTGGAAGGTATGCGTGCAATCATATGAGAACGGGTCTCATGTGAGTAAGATTTAGAGGCAAATCACAGGGGAGTCATTGTGGAAAAAATCGCTGTAAACAAACCGAAGAAAAGAGCCCTCAGACTGGTCTGACTCTTTATGGCTGTTGTCGGAAGAAAACCTCGTATCTCCAAAATGGTAACTTTACAGGAGAAGGAAAAAATAGATTTTATTTTTAATGTAAGTCAATGGAACCAGACGTTTTTCAAGTCATTTTGGGTCGTTTCTTTTGGTCCATTCTTCGTGAAATTTACACACAGTGTAAACAAGCATTTTCAAATTATGTCAAAAACTGAAAAATGGAGATACGAGGTTTTCTTCCAACAACAGCGTTATGCGAGTTATAACTGCTACCCCACATATAAATGACATATCACCCTAAGAAGGGCTTGACATAATGAACTACATCACATTAGTAGTTCATTATGTCAAGTATTAGGAGTGCTAGCAGTGTAGCTGGTTTCTAGAAGATTCTGTTCAGCTTGGAGGCTTAATAGGAAACATGTCTGCAGTCTTCGATTGGCTGGATCAGATTCAACACTGTTGGGTAATGGGTGCAGGTGTTGCAGTGTTAAAAAAGATGGTTCTTCAAGGGTTCTTTAGTAAAGACAGTGGTTCTATATAGAACCAGAAACTCTCAAAGAGCCATTTGCATGCTTAAATTGTGCTTTGCATGGTGAAATGGTTTGTCAGGTTGATGAAGGATGCATTGAAAAGAATGGTCATTTTTGAAAATGGTTCTATACAGCACCAAAAATTGTTCTTCTATTGTTACAAGCTTGAAATCATAACAATAGAAGAACCTCTTTTGGTGCTATATAGAATGCTTTTCCGAAAGGTTCTATAAAGGTTCATATACACATTTTTCATCAACCTGAAGAATCATTTTACGATGTAAAGAACAAATGGTTCTTTGAGAGTTCGTAGCTCTACTAGAATAATTGTCTTTACTAAGAACCCTTTAAGAACCATCTTTTTAAGACTAACACCTGCTCCCATTAACTACCAGTAATGAATCTGATCCAGCCAATCAAAGACTTCCGAAGAAGTAAGTGAAATCCATGACCAGCATTGTGACCACTGCTGTAGAGGAACCCCTTTTGATTCTGTTCAATGGATGGTTCTTTAAAGAACCCTTTCTGCAAATGAGATGTGACTGTGAAGAACCTTTTCAAAGTTTACATCAATTAGATGAATGAATGTTTTTCCTATAATCTCAGCAAAAGGGTTCTACATAGTACCAAAAAAGGTTCTGTGACTTGTGATCATAGCACAAACCTTTTTGCTAATATAGGAAACCATTTTTTAAAAAGTTCTTTAAAGAACCATTTACAACATGTTCTCCCTCATGGAGATAAACCATTAAACCATGCAAAGAACCTTCTAAGGAGTCAAACGGTTCTTTGAATTTAGAGAACCATTTTTGTAAATGTGATGTGTGCACAGAACACAACCTTTTTAAAGTTTCAAGGACCTCCACAACATGTATAGGTTCTAGGAAGAACCTTAAGTTGGTAAAAATTGAGCCTTTCAAAGGTTCTTCAAAGTGTGTGGTGTGCTGGTACGAGTGGATCAGACACAGCAGTGCTGCTGGAGTTTTTAAACACTGTGTCCACTCACTGTCCACTCTATTAGACACACCTGTGTTGTTCGTCCACCCTGTAGATGTACAGTCAGGGACGATAGCTCATCTGCTGCTGCACAGTATAAGCTAATCATCCTCTAGTCCTTCATCAGTGGTCACAGGACGCTGCCCACAGGACGCTGAGGCTAACAAAGGGGGCTAACAAAGTATGCAGAGAAACAGATGGACTACAGTCTGTAACTGTAGAACTACAAAGTGCACCTATATAGTAAGTGGAGCTGATAAAATGCACAATGAGTGCAGAAACAAGGAGGTGGTCTTAATGTTATGCCTGACCAGTCTATATATAACCATTATCTTAACCAAGGACCCTTGAAGAACCTCTTTATTTATGAGTGTAGAACTGTATGTCCAAGCCAAGAATCACTTAGGAACCCCAATTTTTAAAAGCATAGGCTTAGGTTAAGACTAGAATTGGGCTTCAGATTGTATTGACTACCCTGGACTGCTGGACACTTTTCTATTGTCCCTGCATTGCTGACCTCTTTAGGATCTTCACTTATTTGCAGACTATGCGACAAAGTCACTTTCCCAGGCACAGCTCTGTAACTAGCTGACTGCATTCCGAAACCTCCACTTGTTCTCTGGCTTAATAATGATGGCCTAGACCAGCTGGTGCCATTGTGCAGCTCTGAGCCTCCAAACTTATTTATTTTATTTCCTCATCAAACAGATTTAATGGAGACATGTCAGCCTGGTGGTTCCCATTAGTGCAGCTACACCGTCAACTCATGATGACACTTCTTGTGGTACTTGGTAATCCAGGAAATAAGATGCTTTATATTACATGACATACACCAATCAGCCATAACATTATGACCACCTCCTTGTTTCTACGCTCATTGTCCATTTTATCTGCTTCATTTACCATATAGGTGCACTTTGTAGTTCTACAGTTACCTGCATACTTTATTACTCTCTTTTACCTTGTTCCTCAATGGTCAGGACCCCCATGGACCCCGACAGAGCAGGTATTATTTGGGTGATGGATCATTCTCAGCACTGCAGTGACACTGACATGGTGGTGTGTTAGTGTGTGTTGCGCTGGTGCAAGTGGATCAGACACAGCAGTGCTGCTGGAGTTTTATCAGCTGCACTTCCCAAACTGTATTTCGCTGGCATCGGAAGAAAACCTTGTGTCTCCAAAATGGTAACTTTACAGGAGAAGGAAAAAACCTACTTCACTTTTAATGTAAGTCAATGGAACCAAACCTTTTTTCCAAGTCAATTTGTGCCGTTTCTTTTGGTCCTTTCTTCATGAAATTTACATACAATGTAAAAGGCAACAGGCATTTTCAAATTCTGTCAAAAACTAAAAAACGACAAAAATGGAGATAAGAGGTTTTCTTCCAACGGCAGCGATGTATGACTCTAAAAATATGCCTTTAAAGTAGGATCACATTAAATGCACACACACACACACATCATCTAAACCGCTTATCCTTCTGGGTCGTGGTGGGGTGCTGGAGCCTATCCCAGCTGTCATTGGGCGGAAGGCAGGATACACCCTGGACAGGTCGCCAGTCCATCACAGGGCAGACAGACAGACATACACATTCACACCTAGGGGCAATTTAGCATGTCCAATCAGCCTGACTGCATGTCTTTGGACTGTGGGAGGAAACCGGAGTACCTGGAGGAAACCCACGCAGACACAGGGAGAACAGGCAAACTCCACACAGAGATGACCCTGGCTGCCCGGCCGGGAATCGAACCCAGGCCATTCTTGCGGTGAGACGACAACGCTAACCACTGTGCCACCGTGCCGCCCTCACATTAAATAGTATGTATTAATACAGGACCCAGTAATAACCCTCTTATAACCACTGATGTATTTTTTTAAGGGGTGATTTTTTCCCCAGTTTTCTCCCCAATTTAGTCGTCTCCAGTTCCACCCCCCCAATCACACGATACCACCAGCGCTAGGAGGGCATAGGCTAACACAGTCTTCCTCTGAGACCTGTGAAGTGCCACCGCATCTTTTCGAACTGCTGCTCATGCGACATCATTGGACAGCCAAAAACGCTCGGAGGAAAGCGCCAACCGCCAGTTCTGTTATGTCAGGCATCTGCGCTGACTAGCATCTTGCTGAGTGATGGGGGAGAGGCGGGGCCATCCCACCCTCCCAGAGAGACAGAGGCCAATTGTGCTCTCTTGGTCTCCCGGCCACAGATGCTGTAGCAACCACTAATAATTTTTAATAATTATGAAAAACATAATTACAGTGTAGAATAGCAGAGCTAAACCCTGCATTGCACTCTGCACTGTATTCTGTATTCCACACTGTAAATCTGTATTGAAGAACTGCTATTACAGTTTAAAAATAATGCCGATTAATAAAGATTATCACAGCAACGTGTCTTATCATCTCAAGATAATCAGTATGAAAACACTAGAACTTGTCAGTTTGAACAGATACTGCTAATGGGGACGATTTGCAAGATAGGCAGATCAAATAAGCCACAATGATGTGCCTCATTCAACAGTTATTGTTCAGTAATGGTGAGATCTCATTAGTGATATAAATATCAGAACATGATTTGCATGATAAGTAGCTCCTATGGCAAACCATGACTATTAGAAAAAGGCCTTTAGTTTGGGCCTTGATGTCAAAAAACAAGAAAATAACAGCACACAGCATCATTCGATTTGTGAAAGTCTAGCTTGCGAGACAAATAACAGACTAAAGTACAACTCAGATGGGATTAGTTTACATGAGGAGGTGGGATAATGTGATTTCACCACTGGCCGTGTGTAATGTTTATGAGCGATTCATGTGGGATATGAAATCTCGGTGTAAGCTACAGAGATGGGAGTGGCTACCAGATTTACATGCTACCTTATCTCAGAAAACATGTCGAAACATTTAATTTAGCTGTTATTTAGCTTAAGTGAAGTCAGTAGTATAGTCATTAGCGTGGGAATTCACAGTCAGCAGACAACACCGCAGCATAAAATCATGCTTTACTGTTCGGAGTCATACACAATACATATCAGCTTGATCTGAGCCACGGAGAACACAAGTAAATCCTTCTTTCTTTCATTAAACAGCAGGAAATGCTTTTCCACAGGACATAATGCTGTTTTACCGACCTGTCAGTTTGCGCTGGATTAATATAATCTGGGGTTATTTCTGCAGCTCGCTGTATGGTAGGTAAAAAGCATCTTTACTGACGCAAGAGCGTGCAGTCCGTAAAAATAACTGACATGTCAGATTCAGACGGGACTGAAATTACTGAGAAATGCTGTTAAAAAAATTACATTACCCCACCTCCTCGTGTAAAATTAATCCAGTCTGAATAGTGCTTAAGGGGTGTTCTGATTACGCCTTTTCAAGCCCTCTAAAGCATGTTTCTTTTCAGAACTGTGAAGTAATGCCAGAACTGAAAAGCAATGCACATCACTCTAACAAGGTTGCCATCTCAGCCCTGTAAAATTCCTGGACACTCCATAAGTGGCTTGATTTTTCACTATATTCAACTATGTTCACAATGCAGTCTGAAGTAAATAGACGTCAGTTCAGCTACAGAACCTTACAGTCTCAGTTATCACACTGAAGTGCTGCCTAAAGCCTAAATATGTCACCAACAGTGTACCTTTCCCAAACAACTGTCCCTATACTGAGGCTGGTCTGAACCATTCAAACCCATTCTTTACATACAAATGGTTTGACTGGGTTAAAAGAAGCAGGACTGTCATTAAAAAATACATAGATATAGAAAACATATGAAATGCTTGTTTGGCGGGATCACAAAATGTCCAGGAATGGAATTATAAACCAAAAACCTGTACAATCCAGGGAAATCCTGGATGGGTGGCAGCATCCACAGCTGACCAATCATTATCCAGTCTTCCCTCTAACCATCTCAGCCATGGAGGAACATGCAGGAAAAGCTGGTTTGGGCTGTTTTTGAACACCTGGAGCTGAACAACACAAATGTTACCACAATCTGAATGTCAAAAAGACTTTTCTGTTTATTATTAGCACGTCAGTTTCAAAATTTGATCTCGAATCGCTTTCTCGTGTTTATCTACCTCCAATCAGATGCCTTAACCCGCCCCCTGAGATTGAGTGTCGCTCCCTGAAACAACTAAAGCATAAAGTAAAGCCAGGGGTTTCTGTCATTAATATTATATTGTATGTTGCAGTTTTACAAAGGTACCTTCGTTAAAGACTTACAGCGTTTTCACATTTAGTTCGTTTTAATAGAACCGAACTGAGTTAAGTGAACCTGGAAGGGAACCAACTGCAAATGACCTGTTCTTTTTGTGTTCACAATGTAAGTGAACTATAAAGAGGACTCTTTCTGGTTTTCTTTCTGGTCCTTTGAGATCTAAGACTACTTCTTGTTCAGACCACAACTCTATTAGATCTCACAATGTGTGCAGTGCTCGCAAAGTGGGCAGCATTATCTGATAAATCTGACCTTTCAGGTGGTGAGACAAACCATCAGACACGCCTTCTGCCCTCCTATTGGCCGAATTGGAAAAATGACCCTGCGTGTCTGCTGCGGTGGTTTCCGTTTTCGGAAATTGAATTTTTATCCATTAAACATTCAGCGTGAAAGCAGCTAAAAATTGTTTTGCGTGTCCAGTATCAGCCTTTAATGCGGTAAAATCATGCAGGCTCTCAAATCTTATCGCTTTAATATCTCAGGGCTGCTGTCTTGTCGCAGATCACCGACAGGCTTTATCCTGAGTAGAACCCTATAAATGATCCTTGGTCTGTTTTTACCTGTAGTGCTGAAGACTGTGTCTGTGTGTACGGTGAGCCTCGAGGTCTTCACCATAAAGCTAAAGCGGACTGGGGCCGTTTTGTTTTCACAATGCACAAATCAATCGAACCACAAAGCAAACCACAAACAAACCGAACTGAGACCACCTCTCAAGGTTCGGTTCGTTTTTCGGGCCATTTAGTTTCGGGTCCGAGTTTGTTTGGTGTGTTAAAGTATGCAAAAGAAACCATGACTCAGCAGTCTCAGTCCACTTCAGACAGTGAAACGGCCCAAACGGCCTAAATGTTATTGGAAGAGACTGTTAACTATTTGCACCCATTATACCCACCTATTGTGAATCAACATGTGATTGGCTGATTCCACTATCACTTTTTAATCATGTTGGTGGTTAATTAGATGCTTAAGGCCTCCTGTCCAGCTCCTGAAGGCCTAACCCAACTGGACAACTAGCTTGGCTGTATCTACTGATGAACCTGTTGAACCTGTCGGTGTACAGTTTCTCCATAAGCCACATGAGTTAAGCACTTGTTATGCAGCTGCTGTAATATGGTTTAATGTTCTGTCTGCTCTCTCTCTCTTTGTCTCTCTTGCTGCTGGGGAAGGCCAGGAGCGCTTCGGGAACATGACGCGGGTTTACTACAGAGAGGCCATGGGGGCGTTCATTGTTTTTGACGTCACCAGGCCTACGACATTTGAAGCAGTCAGCAAATGGAAGGAGGATCTGGACTCAAAGTTGACACTGGCCAATGGCAAAAGCATTCCCAGTGTGCTGCTGGCCAACAAGTGTGACCAAAGCAGAGACATTGTGGCTAATAACGGCCTCAAGATAGACCAGTTCTGCCAAGAGAACGGATTTGCTGGATGGTTTGAAACCTCAGCCAAGGTAAGGTGTATTATTGACATGGGATGCTCGAACATTAATGTTTTCTTCATTAAATAGTTCCCCTTCTAAAACCTGATCAGCTGAGCCACGTTCCAAGCCACTGCAAAAGTACATGAGATATACGTTCCCATGCAACTAAATGTGCAAAGACCAAAATGCTAATGGTTCTGGCCTGGACAGAGTCCAGATTTGAACGCTGTAGAGAATACATGGTCTCATATTAAACACAAACTAGCTTGGAAATGTTTTTCGACTGTTTGAAGCCATCAGTCCTGAGTGGAACAATATTGCCTCTTCCTTCTGTAAAAGACTGTCTGCAAGTTCACCCACAAAACTCCACCATTTAAGGAAATCAAAGGGAAAAGCTACCACATACTGAGTTACTTTATCAATTTGTTTAATTCTAAATGCTAATTTACTGACTGAAGCCCAATAAATTAATGTTTTGCCATTTTGGGCTTTTGTAAAGGAGTTCACACATTTGACTGCACATATCAGTTGAACTGACCACTGCAAAAATGAGCAAAAAGGGAGTCCTGCCTTCCTTAGTTACTGTTGCCATGTCTGTCAAACTTTCAGTACAGACCACCTGGTTCATGTAAATGAACTGGCCTTGTGAGATGTTCAGTGATGACATGTTTGAATTGAAAAAATATGAATATAGGCTGAATTAGGATAATAAAATGGATACTGAAAAGCATCTTTACATTAATCAAACCAAGGAAATCCTTAAGCTACTGACTGTTATTCTGCAAATTCTCATGTCTAATAAGGAGGAAGATGGAGCGAATGAAGCTGCCCCTTCAGATGAGCTAATGCTACTGCTAAAGCTAAAGCTAAAGCTAAGACTGGAGCTGGGAAAGCTCATCTTAACATTAGGCCTCATTCACCAGTCATTCTTAAGAGGAAATTTCTTGTTAAAACCCACTTGAAACCTTGAAGTTTTCATGAAGTTTTCACAAAGACTCTTATTTGGGATTCGTTCTTAGGTGAGAAAAGAATCTACACACACTCAAGAGCACAAAGGTGTGTTCTGCGCTTTAAGAACACGTCATGAATCTGACAAACACTTTTTCTCAGGAAAAATTTGAGAAATAAACTTAGGAAGATTTTGGCGAATGAGGCCAATTATTCTATAATTTTGGAACTCATATTAAAATGAGAGTTTAACAAATACAGTAACACAAAGTCTAGTTTACTTTATAGTCTGTTAATAGTTTTGATTTCGAGCTGTGAGTGTGGTCATCAACTTAAACATTTTCCCCAATTTACATCTCTTAGAGCAGTGGATCCCAACCCGGGTCCTTGAGTAGCCCCTGTCCTACACATTGTACTGTTTTCCCTGCTCATAACACACCTGATCCAAATAATTAGCTCATTAACAACCCTTCCAGACCTAAAGTGGGTGTGTTGGGAGTAGGGAAAACACTAAAATGAAGGGTTGGGTTGGGTACCTGTGTCCTAGACTAATAATTCTCAATTACTGCCACCACTAATGTCATTGCAGGTGTGCTTAGAGTGCTCAGAGACAGCTGGCTGAGAGATGTGTCAATCATTCTTTCGAAAACTGTCAATTCTGTATTAATGTGGTATTTTATTTAAAAGCCTGTACTATACAGAATAATCTTTGACCACTGTGTTACTTGGCAACTTTAGGCTTGTGTTAGCAAATTATATTGCTTGGCTGAAGAAACTTTACTGTAAACCCCCTTTGCAGCCCAACATCACCCCTGGTAAAATCACTGTAACATGTGGCCAATCAAGGCTTACTGCTTTAATTCATTAAACCATATGTAAATACCGTTTTTTTCTTAGAATATGTGCTATTCATCTCATATATTCTTGGTGATATTACTGTGTATTGACTCTTTTGAGAAGATAAAAAACTCCTTTCTTGATATTTACTATTTAAAACAATAGTTCAAGTTCATAAAGGAAATCTTAATAGAGGGAATAACAGTGGCCAAGCTGATGCTGTAGGTTTTGTGTCCAGTTGGCTGTAGTCTGACCAGAATTTCATACAGATGTGGAAAGAGGATTGTAAAATAAATTTAACCCTGGAGTTCAGCAACATAAACTACCTGCTACTTCTTAACTGTGCACATCATCAGCACCTCACACAGTGTATCCTGAAGAGAACTGATCTTTCACTGAACCCATTCCAGAGTTCACTACATTATGTCACAAGTAAAGGCACTCTTTTGTGAGTGTTAAAACACAGGAAGTGTTAGCACTTAATGCATCCTCGTGAGTCAAAAGGGGAATTCTGCAAAATGTCCTGAAAATTTCCACATAATTAATCTTAAGATGTAAACAAAGTCAATCAGAGTCGTCTGATGTGAAATGAGCTATTCTGCATTAATTTACCTGTAATTGTTCACAGTGGTGGTGACTGGAACCTGGATTATAGAAACATCCTAACTGTGAAATCTCATCTTTTCAGTCACCATGACAACTAAAGTTAGGACTGAATTTAGGACAGTAGGCAGTTTCTGTCTAAAGAGTTCATTTTATGCCTCGAAACCCTCTAAATCTATACTCAAAAATGTTTTCCCACTTCAGGCTCTGAAATTAGATACAAGACAGGTATTTTGACCATTTATGAATAATGAGCAACATTCTCATATACCCCATTATATTGATATTAATGCAGTAAAAACATGAAGTATACACATAGAGGAGAAGGAAAAATTGGGAAAAAAATTGTTTTAACCAAAATGTTTTCATTAAAATCTTATTTTCCAGTCATTTTCATTTCATTTTCATTTTAAATAACTGAAGGCTAATAAACTGGGTAACAGGGTTGCAAATGTGGCCTAAAATATGTATTCATTGTAGTTTTGTTTTGACTTTTTTTACATCGGTAGTTAGCTAAACATAACTAATTTACACATTTTTATTATTTTGATTAAATGTTTACTTTTCAGCTGTGCATATCATAAACCTAAAGTTAAGCTATATATAGTTGGTTGCTTGGTAACCAGCATGACAGCTGATTATCCACCTCGATCGAGTAGTTTGGGATTTCCAAACTTGAGATAAAATGTTGTAAGATAACATATAACTCCTAAATTAAGATAAAATTTGCTTATATGAATTTCCAAAAACCGTATCTTGACCTCGTCAGATCTTAAATTAGGACTAAAGATAGGGAGTTTCTGTAATACGGTGCCAGATGTCCAAAACATTTAATGTCTTTAAAGCTGAAAGTTATTAGACAAAATTGTTACAAATATGTTGCCTGATATCTGAGACATTGTTTTACCATAGTTTAGAGAGGATCAATTACTCTCAAAACAAACTGATTAAGATCCTGTGACCCTCTGATACCTGAAATGGAGAGAACATTATCAATAAGGAACAGCTTGAATTGGCCGATATGATAATATTTCATCATTGTCATAAAAAACGATGTCACAGTACACTTTTCTGAGCATATCGTGGATATTGTCAGTACTTAGAGAACACAGACTAATGTTTCATTACAGAGTCAGCATAATTAGGCCTTTTTAATTGGATTTAGTGCAGAGCAGTTTGTAAAACACTGCATAAAAATCTTTATAGTTGAAAGTTTATTATTTTTTTATTATAGCATTTTTTATATTGTGGCACTACAGGTTCTGCTCCAACTTATCAAATCTCAGAAAAACTAAAAATCATGATGAATATCATGTATCGTGAAAATGTCTTTAAGCGTCATGATATTCGTTTTTGCCACATCGCATATAAAGTTGTTTATTTTATGGTCTGTGTTAGACTATTCAACTATTCGCTGTTTCTCTTTTAGAAAAGACTGATGAGCCTCATGTAGTCGGCTCCGGCCCTAATGGGATGTCAGGCGCCCAGGATCAGGAGATCATGAGGAAACGTGCATTATAAGTTACCTTTGGAGACCTCTAATTAAGTGCTCATGAATATTCAGGACCTAATTACACCTGACAGTCACACCGAGCAGTTGCTAAGGGAAAAGGACCAGGTCTGACACTCACTCGAGGGCTCACTCATTAAATCTAATGAAGACGTTCTGTATTCGGGATGCAGTTATTTATTTATTTATTTATTTATTTCAATTCAGCTCCCCTTTTCATTCATCTGTCATGAAGCGGGAGCCTGAACTGTTTTAAATGAACCCTCGCCTGGTACAATTTCACGTCTTTTAATAATTCACTATGACTGTCCGACCTACTTCTGGGCGAGCGGAGATCAAAGCGAGACCTGCTATCGGCTTATGATCAAAAGTGGTGGAAACAATCAGATACCAGTGCCGCGGGTGAACGTTCGTACCACCCGACACTGTTCCGCGCACTTTCATGTGTGCAATTGGTCCAAAAAATTCACATTTCTTTCCCTAAATCCACTCAATCAAAACGTCTCATTTCCGCTTCCATTAAGTCCAGTTCTGCTGGATACTTTTCAGAGAGGAAGCAGCTGATAATGTAACCAGTATTACAGTGTGATTCCATACATTATGACTCCACTTACATAACTAATGACCACACCTCCAAACATGACAGTGCAAAGAACATGTTGGGTGCTGACCACATGCTTAACGGTGTGCACCGAAAGACTTTTACTTTGTTTAGTGCAAATTAAGCACAGATGTTCAGTAAAGGTTGGCTAAGGCTATATGAGTATATGCCTTCATTTTAAGGCTGTTACACACTGAATGCAACACAAATAAATGTCAAAATGCAAAAATATTCAGACACGGAATTTCTTTGTTCGTGCCAAAGCAAAAACAAACAAATGGGAAGAATATCACTAAACTTTCACAATCCTCTGCTCCTCACAAAATACTCTGCATTTAGGAAAAGCAAAAGGAGAACAGAAAGTTTCACCTCCTCATTCTCATATAGCTCAGATCTGAGTGCCCAGTTTGAGCCCCATTTGAGTTGCTACTGAAGATGTTAACACCATCCGTGACAAAGCAGAAGACAAACTAATCTTTTTTGACATTTGTGAAAAAGTTGTAGTTACCGGGAGACAGCCAGCTGGTATTTTGGTTGTTGCCATGCCAACGCCAGAGATGAAAGTGATTGATTGAGTTCAAGTTTGCAAAAATGTAATAGACAAATAGAATAACGTTGCATTTTCACCATCTGAAAAGTTATACAACTAGATATATCTGATGATCAACATAATAGGAAACAATTCAAGTAATTTTATAATATAGATTGTTATAAGAACACTTTTACCGCTTTTAGTACACCAGAAAGTAATGAAGTATGAGTTTATTTCTAACTGTTTTAGCGCTGTAATTTGATGAGGGGGTTTGCTACTTCTCCTAGAGCGCTAGCATGCTCTCTATGTCTGAACAAATGAGTGCGTGCTAGCCCGCTTGCTTAAAAGACTCCCCCGCTCACTGACAAGAGTTGACCAAAAAACATTTAAGATGATGGTTGAAAAGAGGCCGTTTCTCTGTCTGTGCGTTCAGCCCCAGAGACATTCCAGCAGACTGTTGCCAGATTATGTGGGATCCCCTTCATATTTCACTTTCTGTGAAAATGTTTTTTCCACTGATGTTTATTCCATTGTAATTTTCAGGTTTCATTCAAAAACACACATGAAAAGCAAAATAAATAGAAATAATTTATGAAGTGGTTTGCATAAAGCACCATAATTATAACTGTTTTCTTTATTCGGCCCTTAACATGAAACACGTCTACAGCTTTTCTTAATCTTTATAATAACTAATTATTAGAGTATTCTCTTATACTACTAATAATAGAACATTAGAGTATTCAATAGATTATAAAAACTGAAAATGTTCACTGGTTGATATTCTTGATCTTGAAAAAAAACATCTGTCTCACTCTTCCTCTCTCACTCTTGCAGGAAAACATCAACATCAACGAAGCTTCAAACTTCCTGGTCAAACACATCATCGCCAGCGAGAACGACATCCTCAAATCAGTGGTTCCAGACACCATCTCACCCCAGCTGACCCCGACCAAAGAGATGAGCTGCTCCGGGTGCTTTAAACCCTAACAGAGAGCAACGTCTGTCTCCAGAACAGCAGCCGAGGAGGACTGCAGGACTGAGGACCCTCTGCTCCCACTCTGTCTATTATCACATAGCTGGAGCAGGACAGCAAAGACAAGTGTGTGTGCGTGTGTATGTGTGTGTGGGTGGGTGGAACACAAAGAGGAGTCCAATTATATATGAAAAGGTACTTCAGTGATTTCAGTGTTCTTGGTTATTAATGTGTAATGACAGTCTGCTGCTGGCATGAGCAGTTTACACACACTCTCCGCTTTAATAGAAACACCCACCTTCCTCTTCCTCTCATTGGTCAGTTTACAATGAACATTAGGTCCATTGTAAAAAGGGGATACAGTTACTGACTGCAGTCCATCTGTTGCCACACACAATTGTGCAGTTTTTGACCACAAGGCTGCTAGCGATCAGATAATGTGTGGGTGGAGGACTATTCTCAGTTCTCAGCACAGCAGTGATTCTGACATGGTAGTGTGGTGCTAATATGTAGTGTATCACGCACAGTAGTGTTGCCAGGTTTGTGACGATTGTATGTATGTCATGATATTTATATATCATGTCACTATCTATCTATCCATCTATCTATCTATCTATCTATATATATATATATATATATATATATATATATATATATATATATATATATATATATACACAGACAAAAACTCCAGTAGCACTACTGTGTCTGATCCACTCACACCAGTGCAACATACACTAACACACCATCACCACATCAGTGTTACTGCAGTGCTGTGAATGATCCACCACCCAAATAGTACCTGCTCTGTGAGGGTCCATGGGGGTCCTGACCACTGAAGAACAGGCTAAAAGGGGGCTAACAAAGTATGCAGAGAAACAGATGGACTACAGTCTGTAACTGTAGAACTACAAAGTGCACCTACATAGTAAGTGGAGCTGATAAAATGGACAATGAGCGCAGAAACAAGGAGGTGGTCATAATGTTATGCCTGATCGGTGTATGAGGACAACCAGGAGAAATTTTGGGCTTATGTGGGCTTCTTAGGGAGGCAACAAACTGAGTATGAAATTTCATAACCAATCCAGTGCTTCATGAAGGCGAAGCTCAAAGTAGTTGGCGATGGTGTGCTTGTGCACTCATCAGAACTGTCTGACAGAAGACAAGCCTTTTGTTAGCCCATGGATGTAATGCAAGAAACCCCCCCCCCCAAAAAAAAAAAACTCCAATTAAGCATGTAGAAGTGGGGGCAGGTGCGGAAGACACATAAAAAATAGTAAAAATAAAAAAAGTAAAATGAACGCAACCTCAAGCTCTGCTGTTTTGCTTGCTATCCATCACTCTGGAAGTTGCAAGAGAATGGAATAGATGCATTTAGAGGTGGGTTTTAAAGGGGACACATCCATGTTTGCAGCACATTTCACCACAATCCAGCACCAAAAGTTTAACAAGTTGTCTCCAGACTTTCTTGTTGCACGTTTGGTCCCATAAGACTGTTTAACTGTATTACACTACAGGCCAAACGTATGGAAGCAAGCGTCATAAATATTTTACTGTTTATTATATGGCCAACAAGCAAAACAGCACCACGTTTCTAGTTTGACCAAAGACGTTTTTAGTCTTGCTCTAATGTTTTAAATATAGAGAAAACCTTCGCACTCTTTGTTAATAACAGGCCCTTACTCTTTACAGACTCCCACTTTAACACACCTGATTCAGTTTATCAGTCCTGCAGGAGCTTCTGACTGTGAGAATCAGGAGGAACTCATTAGAGCTACAGTAAAACTCGGCAGAGACAAACTAATAAAGAATCCGTTTGCAGTAATGTGTTTTATTTCTGGATTATATCTGGATAATCCAGATAAACTTTGTCTGTATTCTGCTACTCTATACACTCTTCACTGACATGGATCCCCAGTTTGACCAGATAAACATTGACATGTACGGCGTTTCCATGTTACTTCCAGTAACCGAGTGTAAACATTGTTTCTCACTTGCTATTATCAGTGTATTACATGCTTTCGGATATCAGAGTGAACCATTTAATACAGGCAACGAATCATCTGCGGTGGTGGAGGAGAAGGCTGTGATTTCAGAAGTGGTCTGCGCCACTAATGTCAGAAGGAGTTTTTAGACACGAGAGGAAAGTTAAAGTAAGATATTAAATATATTTGTATAATATTAGTAGATTAAACATCCAGCAAATTTAGAACAAGAAAAAAAAACAGAAATGTAATAAAATTGCAGTTTAAAAACTCTGATCAGACAGTTCTCTCTGTCGGGGAACTGTCTGGGCGTGGCCTAATATTCTAATGAGAACACGAGATTGACAGCCCTCAGTCTGACACTCCCAGTCTGCCATGCGTCTGAAGCAGAACTTAACACAACAAATGCAAAAGAAGCCGAGAGAAATGAGTGAAACAGACTCCACATGTACTGATGTACGCTCGCCGTGTTCACTCACTGTAAACATTATCCAGCTCTTATATGGCGACAGCCTATAAAGGCTGCTATTCCCATTACTGCTGGATCTGCATCCAGGGAATGTACACACAGACAGACGACAGACAGACAGACAGACGACAGACAGACAGAGAGATGAGGAAGCTTGGTAGCTCAGTTATGCATGCTAGGTTAGCTTTCGCTCGGTGGTTAGCTTTCGCTTGGTGGTTAGCATTCACTCTGTGGTTAGCTTTCGCTCGGTGGTTAGCTTTCGCTTGGTGGTTAGCATTCACTCTGTGGTTAGCTTTCGCTCGGTGGTTAGCTTTCGCTTGGTGGTTAGCATTCACTCTGTGGTTAGATTTCGCTCGGTGGTTAGCTTTTGCTCGGTGGTTAGCTTTCTCTTGGTATCTCTCTTCTTCAAACTGAACAGAGTGAGACAGCTGGCGAACACATTGGTTTGTTAAAGCTGTGTAGGTGGGACGAGTTACATTTCTGATTGGTGAGATTAATGTTTCTGTAAACTGTATCTAAGATTAGGATCGCCCAGTTTATTGGACACCAGAACATTATCCATGTGCCCTATGAATAACATTGCAGTGTCCAATAAACGGCTGATGTATTTCGCCAAAATTCCCCCCAGTCAATACAAACTGGGCGGCAAACTTTGTACATGTATGTTATGCAGCCACAAGAGCAAGATTAACCTACTTAAACATAAAACATGGATTTAAATTCCCCAGGGTTTTAAGACTTACATAACTGTGGATACCAAAACGCATTCCATTTACACTTGGGTTGAATGTAGTTAAGATCTTTAACCACCTCTGAATGAGCTACTGGTGATCTTATTATAATCTGATCACAGCTTGTCCTGAGCGCGTTTACACCTGGCTTTTCATGCAGTCAGGTGAAAGAGAAGTGATTACTGAAAACGCAATAGAACACTCGAGGGAGTGTGTTATCATGAAATAACATCACGGCTGTGATTTGGTCGCCGTAGATCTTCACAGCTGTGATGTTATTGGTGATAACACACTCCTCGAGTGTTCTATTGCTTTTATACAACAGTTAAATAAATAAAGTAATAAATTAATAAACTGGGCCGTGAACGCGGCGTTTAATATGTTTTAACGTTCGCAGTTCCTTCACCAAATTATAGTTCCTTAACGAGCAGCTTGTTGCTACGTCAGAGTAACGAACTCCGCCCACTCGCTGCACAGCCAGCAGTTCGTTCTCCAGCTCCACACAGACCAACTGACAGTTTGGGAATTTAGTGTAGCCTCATCTTCAGAGTCTGACCAAATCGGCTGTCGGTCAAATGTGATCTTAGTATCCATTTTCTGTTTGTGAGCAAAGTAAGTAAAAACATTCAAATGGCTTGAGCATCTCTTACAGCTGTCAAAGTCACTGCTTAGCAACGGCGTCTCAGCGGAGTGATATAGTGTTTGTGTAAAAATTAGTTAGTACGCTTCTCAACCAATCAGCTTGCGTGGCCGGAACTAACTGTTGTATAAATTGACATTACTGTCCAGTATATCCCCAAAAAATTTTAATTTCATGTTTATTTTTACAAAATTAGTGCTGCTTCTGAACTTTTGGCCTGTGCTTCTAAGTGACTCCAGACAGACAGCTGACTCTGACATCAGATAATTATTGTGACACAGAGTGGTAAATATGGCAATCATATTGATTATTTATGAGGTTATGAGGTCAAATAAGGTTTTAATCTTTATGACGTAAGAAAACACAGAAGCAAAAGACTGACATGAGCATACTTAATCCCCAATCACTACTGTTTTCGGCCCTCTCTCTCTCTCTCTCTCTCTCTCTCTCTCTCTCTCTCTGCCACTCGTTTCTATTTTTTCTGCTTTCCTCCATCTCTCCTCCTTTTGCACTCTCTCTCTCTCTCTTTCTCGCTCTCCCTCACCCTCCGCAGTGATTCACTGTCTGACTCACTGACATTATATAAATCTCCCATGAATCCTCTCTTCAGCGCTCACTTTTGTTTGGATATTTTAACACGGTTATTGATCTAAATTCTTCTCTGTTTCGATCCCGCTGGGTGCCAACACGCTGCACTTTTTATTTGGTATTAGCCTATTGTTGTCTATGTGGGAGGTGTTATATAATTAGGAATCACATTATTACGAATGTGTGGGACTTCTTTAGAGCAAACAGAATGCTCAGCGTAAGGTGTTACATGGTATTAAACTTGAAAAAAAAAATTGCTGTTTTTTTTTTTTTTCTGTATTTTCTGAAGATAAATGTAGTCTGACTCGTGCTGTACCGGCAGAATTAACCTAACGTGTCTTCTGATAAGACACTCTGTTTATTAATATTGCATATTTGCAATGTACATACAGTTTTGCAGCCAATTGTGTGCTTAATGTGTAAAAAAAACATGTTTTGAACAAAAATGTGTCTGTGTTTTTTTATTTTTTCTATCTTTGCTGCTGGATTGTAGTGATAAGCTGTCAGAGGGGTTTCAATGTATACATTTTTTAAGCTCCATAAACAACTTGTATGGAACTAAACAGCAGAACATGCTGAACTTGCGCTTGTACATCGGCAGAAGCAGAACAGCTCTTGAGGGAATGAAAGTGGGAGTTGGTGTCTATGGGAAGAGTTGACGACAGTATGTTGGTGGAATTGCGCTGCGTTTTTTAGCATATTACTCATATTC